AAGAAAAATCAAAGCTAAACATTATCATTTACGACAATCTCAATTAAAAAAACTTAAAACAAATGCTAAAGAAAAATTAGCAACAAAGCCACAAGTTGCTAAACATCTTGCCGTACTTCAAAAATATGGTTATCAACTTTAGAATCGAGAGAAAAAAGAACAATGAAACATATAGACATGGATGCATCGAAACAAAAAAAAAGAAAGATATTTTTTTTCATTATTGTTTTACTTTTATTTGTTATACCAATAAGAAAAAAAATATAGAGAAAACAACAACATTTTGAATATACATGAAAAGAATAAAAATAAAATAAATAACCGATTGAAAAAAAAACACGTATGACAAATTAAATACAATATCAAGTTTGTTTGAATTTTATTATTCTCATTTCTTCTTCTCTCTCTGCTTGTTATAGATTCACTTTTAACTAATTAACTAATACCCGGTGATGGAAGTTTCTCCCCTCCTTGCATCAGTCATCATTCTTTCATACTAATCAAGTATACTGTATGTATTATATTGTGAGTGTCGAAGTGAATGTGTTTGTTTTTCATCTAATTTAACTATGCATGATTAATTGGTTAGTGATGAATTGCATGTAAAAAAAAAAAACTTCATGTTGTGGAAAAATTGTTATATTAATATTTTGTTTTTTGATTACTACTTATGAGAGAATTCATCCGACTAATAATCTTCGTTTGAACTCATATATTGTTCATAGTGTAGATAGAAATTCTGAAAGAATTTGTGCCGTTAGGCTTTTTTCTCGAATGTTATTGTTAATTTACTGAATTTTCAGGTTATTGTAAGATATCACGAGAAAAATTTGTAACAAAACGGTTCGATATGAATACGATAACTCTCATAGTCCTATAACATCCTGAAATTTATGGCTCAAAATGAATGTTTCTTTTCTGAGATAACACATTTGCAAAATATGTTACTTTAGCCCAGTTTTTTGAGCATACAATATCTTACAAAGGAACTATTTGTTTGAGCTGAAAATTTCAGGTTTTCATAAGGATTCTGAAAGCTATATTGGTTTTCAGATTGAAATTCCTTGTTGTAATTTTTCTTATAATATCTTACAACTATGTTATGAACAAATAATGAGCTCAAATTGAGATTATAAGTCGGATGAATTTTCACGTTAGAGAGAGAAAGAAGTCTTTCTAATTATTGGTTTAATCATTGTTGTTTTTACTATAATACTAGAGCCTTGTATTGAATTACATAACTTAAATCTTTGCTTGAATGCGTGTAATTAACAAAAATTTAGAAATAACTATCTATGTTGTCTTACGGTAAATCATTCCGATATGTTTTTAAGCATTGATGTTAAGGTTAGATAAATGGGTGAAGGAATAACTAATTGGTGTTTTTTTTGCATCTTCGGTAATTTTAATGCTAAAGCAAGCTGCCGTTGTATTGATTATAGATTCTTGATGTACTCATTTGCTTCATTGTTATGATCTAAACAAATTTATATTTGATTCTAATTGATCTTTGCCTTTGGACATTAGATTGATAATCAATGCTTCGCTCGAATTCTAGACTTTTTGAGATATTTTTTTTTAATAGAAGGTTGATTATTGGCCGTGAAAATTACATTTTGTTTTTGTTTTCTTCTAAAACACATAATGTCTATATCCATATTCGAGATTTTGATCTTTTACATTTAGTTATTCATGTATAATGTATTAATAAATAAAAGAAAAAATACAGTCATAATTATTCTATATAAGCAATATGATTAGTGATATTAATATAATATTGTGAATAGAAAATAATCATCGTTTGTTTGAATTCGATTATTTAATTTCTAAGGATTTAATGATATGGAATTAATGAAAAAGAATTTTCATATTGATAAATACATATTTTTTTTTTGCGAAGAATGTCAGAAGTTATTCTATCGAATGATCCAATTTAATATCTTTATAAAATTTTGACTTTATCAAAAGGATTTGTATAGAATTAGATCGATAAAAAATAGAAAGAGTACTTATATTCCATTATGTTTGATCATTAAAAAGATACATATGTATCACTGATCTATATCAATAACATGTTTTTTTGTTTGTTACTCTTATTCATGTGACCTTTTCATCGTGGAATATCAAGGTAACACTGTATTAGAAATAAAGAGATTCTCTCATCATAAAATACTTGTTTTGATTAAAAGGTAAATTTTCCTATTTAGGATATTAGAATAGTAGTGCTTGGTATTTAATTTTTTTTTCGAAGAAATATTTATATTTGTATGAGATTATTTTCTAGAAAAAGAATGTTAACTAGTTTCTATTTTATAAACAAACTCACAAAGGACCCTGACGGATAAAAATACCGCCCGCCATTTGAACAGCTACATATGACATTTTCTAGAGCAGCTGGCAGTGCGTCGAATGGTTTATATGAAATTGCGTGTTCATTAAGTTTCAAGGCTATGAGAAGCCATATAATACAAGTTGAATCATATTATAACAGTTATAATTGTTATGATAGAACATCATGGTTGAATATATCTTGAAATCAAACTATGTAAAATATTTGTTTGAATTCAATTCAATGGAATTTTATCTCATCTTCTATTATCTATGTCTAATAGATCTTACAACACCTTTCTTCATATCGAAAAAGTCACCATTTATGACAGTTTTTATATCTTTTGACCTTTGTAATGTTTCAGTTTACTCAAAATTACTCCTCAGGGAAAAGGCAACCAAACATGAAACTTTCTCAAACATTGTACACCATTGAGTTCAATAACAATACTTCTTTATTGCCCTTTGAACTTGTATAGGTCATAGTAAAACCGATACAGTCATAACTAAAGAAGATCAATGTTTTGATTTCTATGCACGACAAGAGTGTAGAGACTTGACGATAGATCTCTTTTAAATAAAAAAAAAGTTTCTATGTATTAATAATAAATGTACAATGCTCTCTGATTTGACATAGAAGAATATTTGAAAAAATTACAGAAGAAAATGTTCTTTTGCATTCGGATCCTTAGAGGAGAACGTGAAAATAATTTATTTCTCACGAGACAACGAGTAGGCATTAAATCTAATAGTCTAATCATATTTAGTTATTCAGAATCTAAATTGATGAGAAGAAAAACACAAAATAAAAACTAATCTTTTACAAACTTATTCTCATTCCCTTCTCGAAGGATTTGTAAGCAAAAAGTTTTTTTCTATAATATTTAAAAAAAAGTTCATAAATGTCAAATGATTGAGTATGATGAATTTATTATTAATATAAACTTTTTCATTCATAAAATATTTATCACGAAACCAGTATATATTTTGTCGTACTTGAGATTAGAAAAATTAACCTTTGTTAGACATTGATGTGTCGATTTGACTATGATCCAGTGTAATTCAAAGAACGATAAATTCATATTGATATAGAATTCGATGATGTGCGATTTCTAAGAAAATTTTCATCTATGATCACCTCTACCCTAAGGAATAATGTCGAGTAAACTAAAATATGATGAAGGCTAAAAATTACAAGTACTATTAAAACTAGTAAGTTTTCCAATATGAAGAAAACTTTTGTGAGAATTGTTAGATAGATACACACTATTGAAGACAATAGAAAACAACCTATTGAATTGAATGCAAAGAAAATTTTACATAACTTGATTTCGAGACATACTCAGTTATGATATTCAGCCATAAAATCTATAATTGTTATAATATGACTTAACTCTTATGCGGCTTCTTAGAGCGTTGACTCATAATGAAAAATTTAACTTTTTATATATCATTTGACAATCGACGAGTTACTCTAGGAAATAGTGTATAGTTGTTCAAATGAAAAGTGGTTATTTTATCCGACAGGATTCTTTGATACATTTAATCATATATGTAAAAAAAAACTACTTATTATAAAGAGTATATGTAACACAATATCAATCTTTTGTATTAATTCATCATGTCATATTCTAATAATAAATTAGTTTCTTTTGACAGTTTTCTTTCATTTATTGATCATTTTATATTTTGAAAAAAGAAATCAAATTAAAAAAAAAAAACTAATTATCTTCATATTTTTCTAAACTGAAATGATTCAGTAAACTGATAGAAAACGAATTCAAATATTGATTTAATACATAGTAATCAAAAAATAACGAATATAGAATCCATTGAAATCTGTCTCTATTATTACAATGTCATCATATCAATATTACTTTTCGTTTTCTTACCATTCATATAGACAAAAAGAAAAGACTTTCTATTTTCCCATGAAACAAAAAAAATGTCAATATAACATCTTCGGAGAGTGTTATATTTATTTTATATCAATATGGTTTCTTTTTTTTCTTTTCATTGGTACGATATGCCATCAGTTTTCAACACTTATTCTGTCGCTTTTGTTTTTATTTTTATGAATCAATTGATCGGATACCGATAAGAAAAAAAAATCTGTTATCAACAGCACTGAAATAGGGCTAATCTTATTGGCTTAATTCTCATTATTCACTCCACTGGTCTAAGTGTTTCTCTTTGCACTACTTGTTTCTTCGTGTATCGTCGATACATACGATATATACATATATAATGACTATATATCGTCTATATATATATATGTACATACACGTGTGTGTACCAGTGCCACCTCTCGGTTTGCTTGGCACAACTCTCTTTTAAATGAATTTAGTCGTAGACGAATGAATGATTGAACGAGTCACCAACGATACCTTACAGCTCATACATTTTCTTTTTCTTTTTTTTTTTCTTTCTTTTTCACAATGTCTGTCTTGAAAACGAGACATGTTAAATTGTACATATACGATTAAAAGAGTAAAAAAAGAAAGGTGATGTAAGTAAACGAATATAATGTTCTTAATATCGTTGATTTAAATAAATGATATGAATACTAATGAATATGAGACGAGAAAGTCATTTGATTAAATTGGTACCATCTGTGTAATGTTCGTTATTTATTTTGTATTCAAGGTTATATTTCATATTGTAGATCATAGATGGAGATGAATGTCGATGATGAAGATAATGTTAATAATAATAATAATATATTTAATGAAATTGATGATGAAGATTGGATATTAGAAAAACCGATATCTGTTTTTGCTTTGGATCCAGCTGATCGACGTGTTTTAAAAGTAGCTGATCAACGTGATGCAGTACAAAAGAAAACATTTACGAAATGGATTAATTTTCATTTATCAAAACGTGAAGGATTACATGTTGATGATTTATTTCTTGATTTAAGAGATGGACATATACTTATATCTTTATTAGAAATATTTACAAATCAAACAATTGTAAGTTAGGAAAAAAACAAAAAAAGAATTCCTCTTTTTTTTTTTTTTTTTTAATATCAAATTCATTAATAATTTAGCCACGTGAACGAGGTACATCGAAATTTCATGCTTTACAAAATATTGAACAGTGTCTTAAATGTCTTGAACAACATCATAATGTAAATAGAAAAGAATTCTTTATTTTGTTTAATAATATTTTGTGTTTATGTTTACATAGATCCGTTTGGTTAATATTCGCCCGGAAGAATTAGTTAATGGAAATCCTAAATTAACATTAGGTCTTATTTGGCGTATTATTCTTCATTTTCAAGTAAGTTCAATAAAAAAAACAAAAAATGTTTTTTTATTAGAATTTAAGAATAATGAATTACTGATTAAGAAAGGTTTATAGACGAAATTTGTAAACAACAAAAAAAAAAAAAAAAGACGAAGTGTATCACTAATTTTTGAACTGTCATATCATTATTTACAAAAGACGACAGTTCTTTATATTGCAAATAGACTATAGATCTTGTTAAATCAATTGTAGAACAATGCTCATCCTATTGATCAAATTATAGTAAAGATATTCAATGAATTGTAAATTATTCTTTGTATAATCATGTCAATAATGAATTTATAAGTTTTGATATTTGTTTACATCTAAATGAAATTTATTAAACTAATATGATGAAAAATCCTTGAAAAATACATTTGTTATCACTAGCAATAAACAGTTTTCACACGAAAACGAAAAATATCGTCTAATTCATAAAAATGTTATAGAATAATTACAAAGACGCTATTAATATCAATAAGAAAATTAAAGTTTCTAATGAAGAATAAAAATGATCGACTTTTATAATAAGTTATTTTTAGAGTTGCATTATTCTTCATTAATGTGCTCAGTCTGTATTTGAATTAAGTGGTCACGTTCATGAATAGTTCCGTTAGTTAATAAAAGTCTTGCATAGTAATAATTATAATCAAGCTAATTTGAATAAATCCTATGAATTTTTAATCTAAGAAGTTGATTTTTAATTCTGTTTATCATTTTATTAATACAATCATTGATTATTTATTTCATTAGCGATAGAGCCATTAGGCTCGGACACACTCAAACAGTTCTTTTTTTTTTTATTCTAAGATTAGATTTGAATAACACATCATAATTCGTGTATAAGCCTCAATATTTTTCCGCAGTTCATAATATTTTCTTAGTCAAAAATGTTGTGAAGGAAACATTGAATGGAATAAGGTGTCATATTTTTTTTTTCAATACTACTTTCGAAGGTCACAATTGAATCAATATATAGGCCCATATGTAATAAATGCACGTTTTTATTATCAATATTAGTGAATTTTTTTTGCTGATCTATACTACTATAAAATGTCAGGTCGAAAACTAATTGCATTTCATCTAAGTAATATACAAAAAATAAGCTTCTCTTAGTTTTAAGTTCTAAATAAACAGTAGTTGAAAGAATTTCTGCTATAGGGTAAAAAGTACATCAATTTCAATTGTTTTGTTTGATATCTTGACTAGAAATAGTGCTCGATAAAGTTTGATCGCAAGCAGCAAATCGAGATCGACAGGTCTTCATATAAATTATTTAAATGCATGAATCTTCATTTTCTGATTAACAAATTAAGATTTGCACGTCTATGTTGTGTTACAAATAGATTATTTCAATGTGTTATAACTTCCAAATGCAGACAAGTCTATATTGTCTGAGACACTTTCAGCATAGATCTCTTTTCTATTGATGAATGCAATCATGAAATTATGATTAGAACTAACTGAAAATATAGATCACTTTTTGGCGATATCAATCAACTCTCGTATGAAGATTACTTCAAGAATACTTTATAATTCTGGCAAGCTAAAACTATTTGACATGGAATTTTTTTTGGTGATATAGACAGCATTGAGCTGTCTTCGTGTCATAAGCTTTATTTTCTATATTGAGATATCTTCGTCTATCAAAAAAAAAAAAAAAAAAAAGTTGATGACCTTCTAGCCTCGCCATTTGACGATCGACCAAGTCCTACTTAGTTCTGATGATTAGACATCAACATGGTATATCATAGATCTTATGAAAAAGTTTTAAATTTATTTAAAAATCAAAATATTCTGTTGCCTATAGATTATTTACATTGATATCTTTATTTTAGTTTTCTGATATAACAATACCATCATCTGAAGAAAACATTCCAATAAATGTTAAACAAACAGTACCCCCTATTCCAACAACTGAATCATCATCATTTACTGAATCAAAACCCATAAAAATTTCTTCGACATCTCAGACAACAGAACGAAAATCATCCATTGATCAAATATCATCAAATTATCGTAATATGCTATTAATATGGGCTCGTCAACAATGTCAAGGTTATCCAGGAATTTATATTGATGATTTTACACGTTCTTGGCGTAATGGACGAGCATTTCTTGCCATACTTCATCGACATAAGTTAGTTTTGAAAAACAAAAAAAATATTCTTTTTTTTTTCTTCTTAAACTTTCTATTTTTTTTTCAAGTCCACAATTAATTAATATAAAAGAAGTCTATCGTAATTCCAATCGAGAAAATTTAGTAAAAGCTTTTGACTTTGCACAAAAACATTATGGTATTATGCAATTAATCGATCCTGAAGGTAAAAAATAACTAACCAAAAAAAAACATATCCTATCGGATTAGATGATCTATTCAGAATTGACCAGTGAACTATAGAATGTTGTAAAGTATGATGAAGCGCATCAAATTGTGTATAGTAAATCTCATTTTCATAAGACGTCAAAGGATAGACAGTTATGCACCCAAATCATGTTCGGTTATTCATCATTATGAGCGTTGGTATCAAAGTCCCCAATCATTTGATCTTTGACAGGAAAAAATGTGGTTTTCCAATAATTTACCACTAATTTTCACTCATAGTGAGTGTGTAATAAAATACAGAATCAGAGTAAAAAACTTCATTGAATAGCTTATATTTAAACTAAATATTTCCTCATCAGCAATTAACGCGCATGGAACCATAGTACAAAAATCTTGAAAAAATGGCTGAGAAGTAGCACCGATCGAATTTCGATGCAAAAATTATTCAGTGTGAACTCAAACTATTGTAATATCAGTAATTATCATTAAAAGTCTCATGATTTCCTATCAAAGATACAATGATCGGAGATGTTAAGTATATGAATTTGTAGCCGTTGAAAACTGTACGTAAAAAAAGTATTGTTACAAACATTTTCTACAGATATCAAGGATCACAATGATCAGTATCTGATTATGGTTTGGATCGATAATTGTCGATCCTTGCAAATTTTATATAAATAGAATGTACCATGTATCATACAATAAATAATTTCCATTGACCATATCGCTATGACTTATTTTGTACCTAAAATGAATCTGTTTTAATAGAAACCTCAGCTTCTTGTACTCAGAAATAAGATTGATAGAAAATCTCTGAGAGATACTCTTATCCAAAACTTGTGTAAAAAAAAAAAAACTTTTTTATTTTAAAAATTGACAAATATTTCATCATTCGATTCAGTTCTTCATATTGATTGCAAATATGATTTTATTATTCTCTCAAAATACTTCTGTGATAATGAAATTGCAAGAAAAAAAAAAAAAAAACTTTGAAGAATCAAAATTTTTAGAAAATCTGTATCAGAAACATTTGTTTTAACAGAGTGTATTTGAAAAAAAAGGAGTAATTATTTTGTTCGGAGCAAAAACTTTTCTTATAAACTGATAGAGTAGAAGTCCTAATGTCAGACTCTTTGTCTTTCATTAAAAAATGTTCTTTTTTTATCACATAACTGATCGTTAATCAAAGTGTATAAGTTAATAGTCGAATCTTGGAAAAAGCTTAGTTTCATTTTTCACGTAATGTCCACCTTGTTGCTCATTCTGTGTATCGTTTGACGTTCGTCAACGTACTCTATAACATAATATTTTTGTTTTTCCATTCTGAATAGATCATCTAAGCTGACAGAGTTCTTAGAAAAATTTTTTTGTCTATTCAGATGTTGATACTGACGAACCTGATGAAAAAAGTATTTTATTATATATCGCACATTTATATAAAGTTTGTTCAACTCTACCTACTCATCCATTTCAACAAGAACATGATCGAGTTTGTTATTTTGAATAGATTTTACCACTAGAACTTTGTTTATATATGTATATTTTAGATTCATCTTGAAAGTGAATTATCATATGAATATACAAATTTAGCTACAGATCTTCTTAAATGGATAAAAACAAAATTAGATTTTTTAAATCGTGAAATTAAATTTAAAACTATAGATGAAATTGAAACATATCGAAGTGTTTTACAAAGTATAAGACAAAATGAAATGACTCAATATAATAAAATATTACATCGTATGAGATCAATTGATGCTGAATTTGAAGTATAAAAGAAAAAAAAAAATCTTTGAAATATTTTTTTTTTTTTTTATTTATTTATCGTAGACTCTACAATTATCTGAAACATTAGAACCAGATATACATTCAATAAATTTAGCTTGGAACAAATTAGAAATGACAATTGATCGTGTTGAATATGATCTAACACAATTTATACAACAATATGAAAAATTAAAAGATAATTTTAATAATGATTTAGATTTAATTGAACGTGATATAACAAATATTGAAAGATTAATTCAAACAAAAGTTTGTGAAAATTATTTTTTTATATGTATCTTCTTTTTTTTTTTGTTAAATTTATTATTTTAGTCTAAACAATTAGAAATTGTTGATACAATTAATCAATTAAATCAAATACAAATTAATTTAGATACTATATTAAATAATTGTCGAACATTAGCATTACCTTATGAACAAATACAAACTGCTCTTGAAAGGTATTTAAAGAAAAAAACTTTTTTCATATTTAATAAATTCTTTTGTTTTTTTTTTGTTTTAGAACTGATCAATTAAATTTACGTATTGATAATCTTCATGTACAATTGAGTCCTCCACCACCATCATCAACAGTCATGAAAATTTCATCACCAACAACTACACGAATTCTCGATCCATCATCAGTAATGACAACCACCGGTCATCATCATTCGTCAAAAAAACAGGTGAATAATATATATATATATAGAAGATGAGTTATGCAAACCGATCTTTTTCTCTCTCTCTCTCTCTCTCTCTCTCTCTATTTCTATATTTCACGTTAATTGATGAGAATAAATGTTGTGCATTCTTTTTCTTCTATATCACATCAATTCGCATACTGAATGTTGTCTTTTTTATGAGGAACAAATGAGAGCCGACAGGTATTTTTCTTCGTCTACAATATTCGCTTATTACAATTCAATTTGTCGTTGTCATTCAATATCTCAACATACTCTTCGCCTTTTTTCTCTCTTTCAAATTACTCAATATATAAATATTATATTTATATATCTATAATATGTATACATCGATTTTGCTTTATGTGAGAGAAAATGAGGAAATTCGTTTGCGTAATATGTCACTAGAGAAGAAGATCTTCCATTTGAATAAGTGACCTCTACTAAAATGCAACATCAGTATCAGCAAAACGTCGAATATTTCCAAGTAAGATAATGTGAGTGCATTAGTTTTCTTTTTATTTCCCACTACCTTCGATTAATTACTAAAATGACCTCAATCAATCCTTGAGACTCACTCGAGCACAGGCGTAAAATGTAAAATCATGAATACAGTAAAAAAAAAGAAAAATTTTATCGAACACCATCCATACCTAATGGAAATGTACATGAAAGAGAGCATAATGAACAAAATCGAATATATATATACACATATACAATAAAAGGTGACAAATCATTAATTTACTTTTTTTTTTCATATGTGCATGTATGCACATTTGTCTTCTTGTTTGTGCATTGCACGTTCAATTTTGATACTATATATACGTAGATAGTTTTCTTTTGTTGACGATGAGTAGTTCTAATCAACAAATAAGAAGAAGTTCACAATTGGTGAGATATACATAGTCTATTTGTAATTTTTTTTCTTTTGTATTCTTAATTATTAATTAAATAAATCTTTTAAAGGGTCGTTCAAATCAATTATCGAATTTTTTTACAAATTCACCGACTGGTATTGAACAACTTGATGTTATTGTAACAGGTGATTATAGACGAAGTGGTGATACTCAACAACAAACACGATCAAATATTATGGTTGTTGGTTAGTTATTTATTATTCGTATAAGTTTAAATTTTTACTTATAATATGCTTTTTTTTTTTGTTTTTTGTTATAGACTCAGGACATTCAAACAACGAGACAAAACCATTTGTTCTCGTTGATGAACTTAATTTAATAAATAAAAATTTAAATACACTTAGTCAATTACTTCAACAACGTGTGACACGTTTATCACAAACTGGTCTACCAACTTCACATGATGATCTTCTTCTACTTTATCAAGAACATAAGGTTAGATTAAATTGTTTCTTTTTCTTCACAAAATTCTATATCAAGTCTTTTTGATTATTTCTATGTCATTATTCAAAATATTCTATAGAGATAATGTCTTGTGTTAAGTGTTGATAAGTCTTCTTCCATCATTAAGATCATTATAAGTTAATAAGAATCAATCAGCTATATTCGTTTAAAACAAAGAAAAGGATAAAACTAGGTCATCAATTACAGGCAACTGATTTGTTTTTTTTTTTTGATATAATGGATATGATGAGACTTTTTTCGTCCTTTTCTTTATACATGTACACTATTTATATATACGTATGTCTTAGATAAAAATATCGATGCACAATACTAGGAAAAAAAAAAGAAAAAATATAGATAGGCATACATAAGATGTTGTCAACAACAAAAAAACTACTCATGAATATGTATATATCATACGCATAAACGGTAACATTACTGGCAGTTGTGGGTATTCAACAAACAATAATAACAGCAGTATACCAAACGTTCTGTCGATCTTCGTCGGTGTCTTACTTCAATTACTGTTCGAACTTCTGTGTGTGTGTGTATATATATATATATTTCTCAAATGTATATCAGAAACTGTATTCATTAGATAATTTTATTAATATTAAAAGTCAATAATGCGCCGATCGTCTTCTACAACATCTGCTGATTATCAACATGACAGTAGATCATTAGGAACAAAAGAACGATCTGTACCTATTCAATTTGTTTTTAATAAAAATAAAGATTATCATTCATCCGATATGGATTCCCATCGGCAAACATATTTACCACGAACATCATCGACTAGTAGTTTTTGTTCTACAAGTACTGCTAGTAGTGCTAATTATCGAATATTGCCAGTACGTTATTCATCTGTAGATCGAATCATAAATAAACCTGCAACAATTACTGCTAATAAACATGGTATTAATGTACGTATTCGTTTTATAAAGCCACCTTCACATTCACGTCATCATCATCATCATCATCATTATTATGATCGTCATCATGATTACCAACACACAGAAGAACATGAATATTATTATAAAAAATATTTGACAAAAGAACATCAACATTATGGTTCATGTCCAGTATTGAATAATAATTCTAATATTCAAGATTCATTTTCAATATTAAATAACCAACGACGTCGATCAAATATAAAAAATGTTGAAACACGATCAATAGTTCGAAATTATTCAAGTGAACAATTAAATAAATATAATCATTCAAGTACATTAATTATTCGTCATCAATCCCTTCCACCATTAGCAGTAAAACGACCAGCACCACCACGAATAATTCATACACATATAAAACATATTCCACTTGATACATATTCAAAATTTAAACCAATTCTTACACGAGTGATTCAAGAAGAGGAATGATATATTTTTTCTTTAATTCTATTAATTTTTGTTCGACATAAAAAAAGAAAACAAATTATTTTTTGTATCTTTTTTTTTTTTTTTTTTTCTAGGATTTCGAAAATGATCTTCTTTCTCAAGCAAGTCGTATTAAAGATATCCGTAATGTTGTTCGACAAGAATATAACTCATCGTCACATCAAGAATTACGTTCATTAGTTAATCAAACATCTGATCATGCACAAGATTTATTTACAATATCAAAAGATTATTCTGATAAGTAAATATTTTTAATAACATAGAATTCTTTATCTTTTTGTTTTTGTTTTTGATAGATTGGATATCGGTGAAACAACATTAAATCTCGTTACTGATTTAACATCACATATAATTGAGCTTGAAACTCGTTTAGCTTCTCATACACCTCTTATTGACGATGAACAATATATTCATCGTCAATTAGATGATCTTAATGAACTTGATAAACAATTACAAACTATTGAGAAGTCTATTAAAGAACTTCTCATACAAAGTAAACAATTGGGTAGTGATAGATTAATTCGTATAAGTGAACAATTAACATCAAGATGGCAACAAATCGATTCTGAAATAAATCAACGGTTTGAATTTTTCTATTAAATTTTTTTATTTCATAATTTTTTTTTTTTTTTATTTTAATAGAAAACGATCGATTGCACAATGTTTAGAAACTCATCGATCGTTTGAAACATTATATATACAAGAAGGACAAATACTTGATAATTTACAACAACGTATTGAAACACTTGAACCAGTTCCAAATGATTCTAATAAACTTCGACTAATGGCAAAGACTGTTACAGTATAAAAAAATAACAAAACTTCCTTCCATTGTTTCTTTTTTTCTATTGTATTTTATAAAAAATCAATCTAGGATCTCTTCAATGATATTCTTTCCCGAGCACAAACAATTGAACATATGAATGATGTTGCTGTGAAATGTATTGAAGAAACAAAGGTAACACTATCATAAGCTTTATACATTCTCTTTTTTTTTCGAATGTACAAAGTTCTATAAAAACTTGTACTTAAAAAAAAAACACGAGGAGCGTAGGTTCAGTTTGTTTGCTTGTCTAGTATGATTGTGTTGCTTAAGCATGATGAAAATGAATGCTTTATGCACGTATAGAAATAGTAGTTTAATATGTTTTTATTTTGATAAATATTTTGTCATGCCACAATCATCATGTAGATGCATGACAAAAATTTAAAGCGTTTTCGTGTATCATTACGCGATATACATCCAAGTCTTGATGCATCGGTTTCTATTACACGACGACAATATCCAACAAATATTCAACGTGCTACACGAGCTATTTTACATAAAATTGAAGTATTTGATAGGTAATGTGTTGAAGTTTTAAATGGTTGATTTAGAAATAAATAAAGAAAATTTTCTTCTTAGACGTTATGCTGATCTATTAGCACAAGTGGAAGAATATGCACGAGCATTTGTAAAGAATTATAGTACAACTGGACATGTAATTACAAAAAAAACACAAGATTCTTAGATTTTTTTTCTTTCAATGATTTATTGTTTCTATGTTTTAGACCATTAATCTTCCATTAGATTCAGCATCAACTATTGTTCATCTTTATCGTAGTACAATCGCATCTCGATATAACATCACACTACAATTTCTTCTTTCATCAGATGATGATGATGATGAACAGTCACCTCATTCATCTTCATCTGAAAAACGCAATCAACAAAATAATACAACAGGTAAGACGGATAAGTTTGCTAATAACAGAAATCGATTATGTCTTTCTTAGCCATCTATATAAAGTCTTATTATACATCAATAGGATCTGATGTTTGCGATGATAAATATTCCCTCACACACACATTGATAATCAGACTATCCACTTTATATTACACCATAAAAACATATAAGTTTGATGATGACAGAATAATTCTAGGAAGTAGTAAACATAAGTTGTCCTCCTCTCATATGGACAAGGTCAATGGTGACAAGTATACACGTTCTCACACTCTTTAGTCTTTTTTTTTATCGTTCACTTTTATGATCGAAGACACACAAAGAAGGTCAAATAATATCAATGTTGTTAGACTCTATTACAATCGTCCTTTTCTTTTCTTTCTTTTTTCGTTTGAATTCAGGTGTAATAGAATGAAATATATCGATGAACTTTTCTTCTATCACTGATTTAATCCTATACTATATGTATAGAAAAGATATTGATCGATATCTGTGGTATCAAATTATCACGAAAGAATATCGATGTATTTATTAAAGAAATTATGATGTACGAATAACAATAAGCTTTTTTTTTCTATCACATTAATATTCACATAGAATAGGATTTCATACTTGTGTATAATGAAAGACATTACTAATCAAGAACAGCTGATGACGACAATCTTTCATTTTTTTTTTCTACTTGTTGATTACACATCAGAAAAGAAGACATCGACTATACATTTTCTCTGTCAAGCAATCGTTATCACTTCAATTTATCTTTCAACGTGTGACAGTCGTGGCTGTTTTCTTTTTTTTTCTCATTAATGTACGTGTATCGAACGACAAATAGATTTCTTTCTCTTTAGCTATAAGACACTATTGTATAGATATAGCCAAGAAAAAAAAAAAAAAAACTTGTGACAAACGGTGAATCAAATTTTAACAATAGATGAACTAGATGATATGAGATATTGTTTCATTTCATTTTTCTTTTTTTCGACTAATTATTGTTCTTTTCTTTTCATTGTTGGTCACGGTTGCTTGACGTTAAATATATAGAAAAGAAAGAAAAGTGCTATGACTGCTGATATATCGTCAAACTACAACCTCTCACCTATTGTATATCATAAGTATCGTCACACGCACACACATATACATACATATAGATATATATATATATGTATGCATGTATATACATATATATATAGATGAGCCAAGGACTATAATGAGATAGATGTACGTACTATCACGATATTAACGAAGATCTAATCTCTTTTCTCCTCGTTTGTCGTGTGTGTGTGAGTGGCGCTGAGCCAGATAGTTTAGTCGTTTAGTATGAAGAAGAAGAGAGAGACAGAAAGAACGATGGTGAATGCATTTGTATATGGATGTATACATATATGTTAAGAGAGAATGAGTGTATGAAAGCATTGAAATAAATATAGAACAAATCGAAGTTTGCGTATATTCTTACATCTTATTTTATATTTCTCGTACAAGTTCTTCTATTGTCTAATGTTTCTTTATTCATATTCTTTTTTATTTTGTTTTTTTTTTACGTCATCTGTTTATTTCATAGTCTACTTAGGTCTTTCTTTACTTGAATAAGACATCAATGTCTAGAGGGGTAAAAAAAATTGAAGTGAAGAACAAACACCCAATACATTTTTCTTTCCCATGCTTTATACAAATATATATATATATATATAGATTCATCATGACGTCATACAAGCTGTTGTCTCTTTTTCATTTTTTTTTTCATATAGGTTTTATTGACTTGACACGTGGAAAGGTCAGTACTGATCGCCATTCTTATCCATTATCATCATCATTAGACGGTTCAGTTTCATTTGAAACAAACTATTTAATACCATCAACACAAAATGATTTATTAAATAATAAGAAAGTACGATTTATTATTCATAAACAACAACCAGAAATATCAACAACAGATAATAATCTTATAATTACAAATACAACAATGAATGAAATGGCACAACATAAAACTTTCTCGTTTGTTGATGCGGTCAATAGCAAACATCTCGATTTGTCAACGGGCCTTTTTTCTTCTTCTTTACCATTCGTTCTTTCTTCGTCTCCTTTTTCTTCCTCTACATTATTATCGCCCGACCAACATCGCCATACTTATACTCATTTCTCTTCTTCATCATCGCCGCCACATACGACTATTACTACAACCGACAACAAAAATCTTGCTACATCGTCGGTGTATAATCATCCTTCTCCTTCTCACATTGGTACAGACTCTAGCACAACTACTACACTTACATTGAAAGAAGCTATCGACACAAATATTCTAGACGCGCATAGCGCCTACGTTGTCGATACGCTTGAGCAACGGTAAGCAAAACAAATGAAAGAAAACGAAGAAAAAAAAACCGACCAGGGTTCTCTTTTCACTGATATTGTTTTGTTTATACAAAAGGAAGAAAAACCTTCTGGTTTCTTTTTTTTTTTTTCTTCATTGAGTAAATATGTTGCGGTCAGATAAAAAAAGAAATGCAATTAAATTTGTAATAACTATTCTTTTATATTGATGAAATGAATGTAATAGGGTTTTTCTCAATTGCTTTGATTCATTCTTTACCTATGATGTTTATATATATCTATATAAAGAAAAATATAAAACAGCAGCCTAATTTCATTTCACCTTGCTTATATTACCTTTATATATGTATATGTATATCGACTGAGTGACGATTAATTAAGTTTGACACACATTGAAGCAACTAAATCCAATACCTCAGTGTTTTTTTTTTGTTCAGAATCATCAACAAAAGAAAAACAAAACAAGTCATTGAAATAAAAAATTTGTTTCTATTATTCTAGTAATTACGATTTACGTGAAGCTTATTCTCGCGGTTTAATAAACTCAAACGATCATCATATTATTGATCGTGCTAAAAATCAACGATTAACATTAGCTGATGCACTTAAAATGGGTATACTTAAATTAGGTGATCCACAATCTTATAATATAATATCAAAAACTGAATCACTTGTTATATCAAGTGTATATGATCAACGTTTAAATACATTTATTGATCCAAATACAGCAATAAGAAAAAAAATTCTTGATCCATATCATGGTTTATATATAAATAATTTAACACAAGAAGCAATATCAATTGATGATGCCATGAATAAAAATTTAATTATTGTTGAACAACAATTACCACATTCAAATATAAATCAACATAATGATAAATATGTTATATCAACATCATTAATACGTGAAACACGTTCATATCATTTATTAGGTGTTCGTGATTATATTAATAATAAAGAATTATCTGTACAAGAAGCTATACGTTTAGGTATATTAGATAAACAAAATGGACAATATATTAATAGAAAAACAAATGAAATATTTTCAATATCAGAAGCTATTGCACAAGGACATATACGTGCACAACCATTACCAGTTGAATCATCATCAACAACAACATCAGCAACAACAACAAATACACAAGATGTAATAGGAACATCAAATATTAAACGTGGAACAGTTAAAGAAACAAAAACTTATACACTTAAAAGTGCTATACATCCACGAACACGTAAAGTAATACCAATACGACAAGGTAAAAAAACCCTCACAAAGAAAATTTTTTTTTTTTGTTTTTTTCTATAATATATTTTATATTTTAGCTATTGATGAAGGAATTATTGATCATGCTAAAGGTTTTTATGTGAATAGTTTAACAGGTGAAAATCTTCCAATAAGTATAGCAATTGAAAAAGGTTTAATATTTACTGAATTAATTGATCAACATCCAAAACATTATGTTAAATATTTTATTATTGAACAAGTTATTGATCCAATAACAAATCGTCGTTTAGGTTTAACTGAAGGTATACGAACAGGTTTACTTAATACAAATGTTACTAGTTATAATCATCCAATAAAACAACGACAAATGACAATTATGGAAGCATATGAGCAAGGTTTAGTTATAGGTAAATTTAGTGAACAAAGACCATCATCATTTATTAGTGATCAACGTCAACAAACATCATATTTAATAACTAATATAACTGATGCTCGTACAGATAAAGTTTATAGCCTTCAAGAAGGTAAAATTAATGAAAGAAAAAAAAAAAGAAAAAACAAAAATGATTTTATTTCTTTTTATTTTAGCTATTGAACAAAGATTATTCGATCGTAGAAGAGGTGTTTATATACATCCAATAACAAATGATGAACTACAAATAGGTGATGCTATTAAACGTGGTCTTATACAAGTTCAATCTGTAACAACACAAATAACTGAACAATCAAGTAGTTCACGTTCAAATTTATCAATACGTATTGAATCTCAACCACAAACAGTACGTCCAACAACATCACAAGTTTTACAACGTGAAAAAGATATTATTGAAATTGAATCTGTACAACGTGTACCACGACATCGACGACATCATCATACAACAACAGAAGAAATTATTGAACAACAAACAACAAATGTTGTTGATGAAGAAGTTCAAATTAATCGATCACGTTCAAGAGAAAGACCAAAACAACGTTATATTCAAGAAGTTACTATTGATGATGATAGAAATCGACAAGGAATAGTTGATATAAAAGAAGATACACAATATTTTCATGAAGAAATTGTTATTGAAGGTGAACGACCTAAACCACAACCACCAAGAAGTCAAGTTATTATTGATGAAAGAATTCGTGAACATGAGGTAAATTATAGAGTTTTCTTTTTTAAATCTTAAACAGAAACTTGAAATCTATAATTTTATCTTTTCTTCTAGGTTCATCATGTCGTTCCACCACGTCCTCAACCTCCAGTTCCGCCTCGTCCATTTCCATCAACAACAACAACAACTAGAAAAGAATATATTGAAACAGAAATAGATCGTATTAGACCTACACGTACTGAAGAATGGCATGAAGAGCAACAACAATCATGGAGTGAAGAAGAATGGGAACAATGGCATTGTACAATGATGATGAATGGTAAACCATATCGTGTTGTTTGGGTTATGAATACAGCAACAGGTGATCGTTTACCATTACAAAATGCCTATCAACGTGGTTTAGTTGATACTAAACAACGTTTATTTTTTGATGAAAAATTACGTCGTCAATCATATTCATTTGAAAAAGCTGTTGAATTAGGTTATATGGGTATTGAACCAGATACAGCATCATTACCAATACGTGTTGATGGTATTGATTATATGATACATTGGGTATTAGATTCATCAACAAAACGTCGTATATTTCCTCGACAAGCTATAGCTAGAAATATATTAGATTCGAAATATGGTCGGTATATTAATCCATATAATAATTCACAAGTATCATTACATGAAGCTATACATTTAAAATTTGTTGGTGCAACTGAATATGGTCCATCAAGTGATTCAATAACAGTAACAATTAATGGACAAACATATAATATTAAATGGGTTTATGATACAGTACATATGAAAAAAATATTACCACGTGATGCATTACGTCAAGGTATATTAGATATACAATTAAATGAATATCGTAAACTTGATACAAATGATGTCATGACAATATATGATGCTATACAAGCTGGTTATATACGTTGTACAGATGATGAATCATCATCAGATAATAGTGTTAAACCTCCATCAATAATATCTGTTGATGAAGATGAATTAACAATAGCAACAAAAACAGCTACATATGTTATTACATCAGTTATACATCCATTAACACAAAAAGAAATTAAAGTATCTGAAGCTATTGATTTGGGTATACTTGATAAAGAAACAGGTATGTTATAAAATAAAAAATATCAACAAAAAAAAACAAAGATAAAATAAAAAATCTTTTATTTGATTATAAATAATAGTACGAAAAATCAATATGGAAATCAGTAGGTTATCGCATTTTTTTATTTTTATTGCTTTAATATGGTAATAAAACTTACATATATCTATATTGCACATCCCATTTGACTAGATAAAAAAAAAACCAACAAACTCGATATCAGAGAATATTATGGGATTTTTATTGTTTATTAGATTTTTAAGAACAAGATCACTTCTGGTGATTGTTATTATTATTATTTTTTCTTTCTTTCTCTTGTTTATATTATAATAAACAATAGCAAAGAATGCACTTCAACGTGTAGATGTTGCACGTATCTATACACACAGACACCTATTGATATGATTACAGGTGTCATTATTAAGTTCCCTATATTGATGAAACACGGAACAATTATTTCAAATTAGAAATTAAAAAAAAAACATCTTTTTATATAGTTGCTATCGATTTATATTTTATCTAACGAGAGAAAACCTCCAAATGTGACTTGTTAATCGAATGGATATTTTTTGAAGTCAATGGTCTTGAGATTCGATGATCGAGTTTCTGCTTCCAGTTTCCTAACATTATTGATAATCTCCGAAGATACTAGTAGAAGCCTGTAAGAGTTTATTCCTATGCGCTGTCCTTCCCTAGTTATTACAATTTTATCAAATTATTTATCTCGGACAAGACATTAATAAAAAAAAATGAAGGTGGGTATCTAAACCTGAAATTTCAGTTCGAAAAGATATGATGTTCTTGAGAGTATAACATATTCTATTGAACTGAAATTTTAAGAACATTCTAAAGCCCACGAGACTTGTCTATTGGCGAAAAATCAGCTTTGAAATTCCATACTTTGATTTTTCACGAATTCTTTGCTATAGATACAATGAAATTCATTCAAACTATAATAACTGAAGAAGGACACTGCGCATAGCGACCAATCCTTACAAACTTCTACTAGTCTCGTTGAAGCCTTATTATCGGTCAAATAACGATTCGATTAGCAAATCACACTTGATGATCGTTCCACACTAGAGAAGAAAATTACAATAATTTGTTTAAAAACAAATGAGAAACAAATCCATAAATTTGATATAACAGTCATAGATTACATGAATATGAAATACTCGAAAATTTTTATCATCGACCTTCAAAATGAAGTGAAAAAAAAGGCGAGACACAACTCCATTAAAGAAGCCAAGATATTGAAAATGAAACCCTGATATATTTCGTTTTCTTCATCCTTGATTTCGATAAGTCAGTCAAATATAAAAACTGTTAACTATAATTTGAAATTTGTTCCGTGTTTTGATTCTTCCATGCACAACCACAAAAAAATCCAAAAAATATTTTTCCCTTCACTTTTATCGATCATACTAACGATACCAACAAAACCAGTTCAATCCGATATATGTATATTTTTTTTTTTACTTTTGAAACTTATACGCATGTGAATATGCGCATACTATGGGTTATGTAAGCACTATTTCGTTTTTTATTTAGTTTTTACAGAAAAAAGAAAAGAATTTTATTATTTTGTTTTTTATATTTCTTTAACCAAAAAAACATAAATAAACAAAAATGCTAATCTTCTTGTTTTCGTTTTATAGGCAGTTATCGTGATTTAGTTACAAATGTTCAATATGAATTAGCTGAAGCCATTAATGAAGGTTTAGTTTATGCAACAATCATTGAAACAAAAGAAGATACAGAAATGATGACATCATCAGTACAAGAAATTGTTAAAAAATTTATTGTTAAAAGTGTTGCGATTGATAGTGATTCACAAGAAAAAATTGGTGGTTTAGAAGCACAAGCTGTTGGTATACTTAATTATGCACAAGGTGTTTATAATGATAGAAAATATGGTGTTAAAATTCCACTTGGTAAACAAATTAGTTTTTATATCAATTTGTTTTATTTACGAAATTTTTCTTTTTTGTAGATAAAGCTATTGAAAGAAAATTACTTGATGTTGAACTTGTTAGTCAAAAGAAATTTGAAGAATATGATTTAGAATTAATAACAGATACAATCACAGAAAAACGTATAACATTATATAAAATTCATGGTGTACAAAATAATGTCTTAGGTCGAATGGAATCAGGTGCTGTTGCTGTTAAAAATCGTATGATTGATACAGAAGCTAAAACTTATACAGATTTTTCAACTGGTGAAACAATGTCTATTCAAGAAGCTATTAATAGAAATTTAATACAAGCTGAAATAAGTGAACATGTTGAACGAAAACCATTAGGTTTATCAATGCAAAATGCTATTCGACTTGGTTTTTATGTACCTGAAACAGGTATGAATGACATTAAATTCTTTTCAAGTGAAATTATACTTTTAAATTATAATCTAAAACTTTGCTTACATATTTTCAACATATGAATTATTTAAAATCTAGGTCCTATTTTGTAAAATTCATATTTTGAAGATAATATGTCGACAAAGTTTCAGATCTAAATTCATAAGTAAGATTTCGCATAAAAATGAGAATCTTTCAGAAAAAGTCCACTTAAGAATTCAAAATCTTAGGAAAAAACAAAGGCTTAGTAACTCGAACAGCTCTAGAGTATTTACATACGTACAAGGTCCTATCGATTGAATACAATCCAAGGTTGAAAGCAATTTATCACTTGGGGATCTGTCCTTGTATGTTATTTCTATAGTTTAAAAACAGAATATTGACAAATGAAGTCCACCAACTGATTAATTGTTTTTCAAACAAGACTATGTACATAATGTCTAGTCTAATGTATTATAAATATTCTGAAAAGAGTTCAGATTGTAATCTTGATATTCCATGTTTCGAATTTTGATTCAAGGTTTCGTACAGCAACAGATGTTTATATGAATAGTTTATTGTGAAAATCTCAACTCTTTTCGTTGCTCCCGTCCTGTTCTAAGAATATCGAATTTACGATAGATATAAGCGTTGTAAAAGATATGCTTTTATCACATAAGCGCCTCTTAAAATAAATACTGAAAAACTAATTTTTTTAATGTCTCTAAGAGAAATTATAGAATTCTATAAGAATACATTATCTCGGTAATAGAGTGCGATGGTTCAAATACACACTGAAATCAAGAATCAAATCAAAACCAACTTTTTTATAATTTTTACAATCTGAAATCATTAAATCATCAGATAGATACAAAAATTCTTAAATCTATATTGAGAAATCTTCATATTACAACTCAATAGTGCAAATTAATGGCTTTAATTTTATATGATATGTTGGGAACCAAACTCTTTAGAATATTCATAGCTCATCTAGTTCTTGTCTATATTTTCGTGTCAAATAAAAAAACATATTTTGTGTTTTTTTTCTTAGGTGCATTCCGTGATCCAGCTACAGAACATTATATGACATTAATGGAAGCTATTGAACGTGGTCATATACATGTTAATGGTGTTGCATTTGCTGATAGTGAACAAGGGCCAATAACACTATATGATGCATTTTCATTAGGTTTAATTAATCGTCGTGATGGTGGTAAACTTAATCCAGCTAAAATGAGTTTATATCGTGCACGATTAGTTGAATCAAAATTACATCGTATGAATGTTGAAGATGCTATACGGTGTGGTTTACTTAATCTTCGTACGGGTCTATATAAACATCCACATAGTGGTGAACAATTAAATTTAAAAGAAGCTATACAACGTGGTTTAATTGATGGACAAAGTACTGTTATTGAAAATCCATCAACAGGACGTTATATGACATTAAAAGATGCATTAGATGGTATACGTATTGATAATGATGGACAAGTTATTGATTCATATTCAAATAAAGTTATAACAACATTAGAATTAGCATATAATCATAGAAAATTATTTTCACAATTTGATGTTAATGCTGGTGAAATATTTCTTCCATCACAAAATGAATCAATTGGTTTTGAAAAAGCTGTACGAAAAAATTTACTTGATAATAATCGTATTAAATTATTTGATCCAAAAACTAGTCGTGAATATTCTATACAAGATGCTATTGAACGTGGTTTAATTGATCATGAATCAGGTTTAATATATGATTCACGTTCACGTACAACATATTCAATACGTGAAGCTATACGTCATGGTATTATAGCTATTGTTGGTGCACCACTTGTACCAATTAAAGCTGATCATGAAACAGTTGCAGCTAAAATAACATCAAGAAATCATCGACGACATTCATTAGCTAAAAGTTCATTACATTTTGATTATAATAGTGCACCAGAGTCAGCTGATGAAGATTCACATGGTAGTTCTGGTTGGCATCGTATAACATCAAAAAATCGACCTATTAGTCCATTAAGTGCCGATGGTAAACGTAGTATTCGTCGACGTACTGGTTCAAGTCCATCAAGAAATAATACTAATAATCGTTTTAAATGTCGTGATGATGATTGGATAACAGGATGGAGAGGAGGTAATAATGATGATGATGATGATACATTTGGTGGTGGTTCAAAACGTATTGGTGGTAATACATATTATACAAGTTCAACAACAACAACAACAAATCGTAGACAAGATAATGATAAAAATCATTCATCGAATCGATCACAAGGTGGACGTACATCAACTGGTTATCAACAAAAACGTAAATTTAAATAAATACATAGGGCAATCGAAAAGTAGTGGTGGAAGTACTTTATTCCTATATAGAAAATTTGAGGAAAATTTTCCTTTTTATATGTAGTGATAGTCAAAAATAATGTTCTATTTTTTTTCTGTGATATTTGATCATTCTTCAACTAATATCATAATAATAAAAAATTTCGATTTGAGAGTGTTTGTTATGATATATGACGATTATATTAGATCATATTTGTCTTCGATGTGTATTTTTTTTCTTCATACCTACACGTAAGCATTCAAACAAACTATTTCGATCGACAGAAAAACGAAGTAGGATAATGATATTAAAGAATGTCAAAAGAAGAATTTTGGTAACGTATTTAGACTATATATGTTAGAATCAATCGCAAAAAAAAATCCAAATCAAATAGTTAATTAAAGCATTCTTCATTTAGTTCACAAGCGCATATATCCTTTCATATTTGTGACGCGTCAATGTATTGTTATAAATTCCTTTCCGCAATAGAAGACATCAGTTAATCAATTAATCTCTCGCAAAATTGCAACTTATGCATTTTAAAATTCTAAACATCTTTTTCAATAGAAGATCTGAAGTCTTATATTCATAATCGATGAGATCAAATTTGAAATAATCAAACTCTATTATTGTGTCTAGGTGCAGACGTACGCACACCCACTCATAATACGCATCGAAAACAATGTAATCTGATGTTATCGTCACATATGATAACAAAACAGCTCCTAGCGAAATGTTAATCAACGCATGGCCAAACATGACAGAAAAATAAGAACATTATTTTTATTTATCAGTACATATAAAGCAGAAAATTTCCTCAAGCTTTCCATACGGAATAAATTACTCCTGTCACCACTTTTAGATTAGCCTAAACATAAAAAACAAGAAAAAAAAATAGAAATATTTATTTATTTTTTTTTCTTTTAGACCAAGACTTATCAGTTATATCGACAGTAGATACCAAGGTAAGATAACCTATGTTTGATAAAACAAATAATAAAATCAATATTAGAAATTTGCTCATCTGACACACTTATGTATGTTTGTTTGTTTTCTCGACATAACGCACGCTCTCTCATCTCTTTGCGATTTTTTTTGTGTCTTTCTCTTGTTTTATTAATTGTAATTATGCGCATTTGTTTCTCCAACATTAAACACACACACACACATACCCATACGCATCAATGCATGTTAAATGGTTGAAATTACCAAAACGCACAATATCAAATATTAAAAAAATAAAAAATAAAAACATGTGAGTTAATATTAATGGTGATGGTTATTAATGAAAAATGATTTGTTTTCTTATTTTAATTTTGTGTTTTCATTACTCATATTATTTTGTTTTTTTTTTGCAAAAAAAAAATAAAAATAATTATTTATTCTTTCTAGGTGAGTTCGATGGCATTAATGGTTCATCTGCTTAATGACTATGATCAGATAATATATCTGATTATGAATTCTCTTTCTTCTACGTTTTTTCTTTCGTATTATGTTTATTTATTAACACTTGTTCATTTATCAACACATTCTATTTTCGTAAAATGAACTTTATCTAAAACAAAAAAAAAGAAAAAATACGATTTACAATCTCCTTTAATTGTTAATTATTTGTTATGTGTCATTTTACATTGTTGTTCAGCGTTTTTTATGTATAAACGTGTAGAACTTATTTTTTTGTAATATTATCGTGTTAGTTTTTTTTGAACAAAACAACTTCACATGTTCGTTCGTTTTTTTGTGTATGTCTATGAGTATTTGTCTTAGAAAGGTTTTTTTTTCGTTTAGTATATGTTTCATTTACTGATTCCTCCTTTCTTTCCTCTTTTATTATAATTGTATACTCGTTTTCTTTTTTTTTTTATCTTCATGCGTTGACTGAAAGAAAAACAAACAAACAAACATTAAGAGACAAGAAGATAGAGAAAGATATACCTATACATATATGAACAAAAGAAAAATTAAATATTCTTTACACTCTGAACAAAGAAAGAAATAATAAATAAAATTTTGCTTTTTTTTGCATTTTTTTTCTATTTTTTTGGTTTAACTTTCTTAGGAAAAAATATATTTCGTTTTTAGAATATTAAAATTAAGGCGGTAGGAAAAAAAGAGAACTTTTATGGCGAGGAATGACTGAAAAAATTTCTTTTTGGTATATTGTTTTTCATTTTCATATAGTTCTTTTGTGAGCGAAGATAATAGAGCCTGTTGGATGCAAAATATTTCAACCCCGGACTCGGCCAAACTGTACTTTGATACTCCTTACAAATGGGATAGTGGTCCTGACGTCCGCTTGTGGTCACTAGGATATCGTACGAATTTCTTAGAGGACTAGAGTCTATCGGACTCGAAAGGGCTACGGTGCTAGTCCAACCAACTCTACTACATAATCAGATAATAGACTATTTCATGACAAAACTTTTTCGAGTTTTTCTAAGACATCTCAGGTTATTTTTTATTTCGAAATGCATTTATACACGACGAGAGTTTATCATCAAATTATATTACGTTAGATAATAATATCCATAGTGATATAGCCACCTTCGGGAACAGTTATTTTTTATACAAAAAAAAAAAACCATTTTGATTACTTGAAATTCATTGTAAATCTCTATTCTTCTTGTCTCTATTTGTTTCTATGTAAGAAAATCACAACGCACGCGAAGTCTTCTGCATGTGTGTGTGTGCATATGTGCGTTCAGCTGATTATTCTAGCTTAAAGTGTGGCATGCTGTATATTCATATTAGTAATTTATAGCTCATATTTGGCACAAATCACAGCATTTATATATATATATATTGTCTTATAGAATTCTAAATAATACATTTCATATTTCAGGAATCATCATCAGCATTAGATAATAATGATAATAAAAAGTCGAATGAACTTATTACACGTAAATCGGAAAAGTCATATTATGTTCAACCAAATACACAAGTTGCTGATGAACCATCATCATCAAAAGTTGGAAATATTAGTGATCATGACGAAGATTTATTATATTCGTCAAATACCAATGAATCTAGTTTCGATACTGTTGTAGAAAAAATACCAGAAGAAATAAATGATGATTCATTAAAAATTGAAGATAATGCACAATCAATTCAGGTAAGAGGTTTTTTTAATTTCATTAAAGCATAAAAAACCTCTAAACAGACTACTAACAATTAAAATAGCAAAAAAAGACCATTTAAGCCGTACGTACATTGAATATAAAAGACTTTTTTTTTGATATTAAATCTATTTAATAAATAAAAATATTTATTTCGCTCAGATAATTATTACAATAATAAAAATTTTACGTAAAATAAAAGAAAAAAAAAGATTATGAAAATTTTTTAAATTTATTTTCTGAACTAATTAATGCTGCTTGTTTTATGCATGTTTTTTTAAATTTAATGAAATAGTTCTCGTTTAAACAAAAAAAAAAAATAATGAACAAATGAATCGATTTTTATGTGCTTTTTTTTAGAATGATGATAATCGAATTCTTGTTGATATGCATGATGTTGCTAATCGTTTAACATCATTACATGATCAATTAAATCAATATGTTTATTTAACTGAAAATCTTAATGAACTTCGAAATAATGTTGAACAAATAAAAGTATGATAAAGAAATTTAATAAAAAAAAAAATGATGTCTTTCTTTTTGTTATAGACATTACATTCTGGTGTTGAAAACGAAAAAACAACTATTGATAATCTTGTTGAACGTGCTAATCATATTAATCCTCAACTTGCTACTTTAAGTCAAGATCTTGAAGAAAAACGAGTTGAAGTAAGAAAATTATTCTTTTATATTAATTAGACATAAATAAAAATTAAAAAGATAAGATTTCGAACGCTGCAAATTTGCAATAACTCTTTGTGAGGTTCTCGTGGTTTCTAGGGGTTTTGAAATGAAATTGGTATTAGTAAAATTCGCTCCAGCACTTGTTCAGTTCAAAGAGATAATCAATCGAAAATCTATTAAATTGTGCATTTCATGAGATTCCTTGATCAAAGAATTTTTGATGAAAACGGCTTGATGTACGGTCACATAATTGATAATTTTGAAGGTCTCTCGGTTAATCATCTTTTCAAGTAAAAAGATGATCAAAGTGAAATAGAATGGGCTAAAGCAGATCTTACTAATATTCTAATGGAATAGGTAAAAAAATGATGACTGATAGAAAGTTACACAATCCATGTAAAAAAAAAAAAAGAAAGAAAGAATCTGAATTTAAGCAAATCATTCAGTTTATAATCGATTAAAAGCATGATGACCGTATAAATCAATCATATTTGTTTTTAGCTGATTAAAATCTAGCTTTCAGCTTGAAAAACAAATTTCATTAGATTTCAATGTACCAAATCAGAGCGTTCGAGTTCAGCCTTGACTGTAATCACTTCTAGTCAATTAATAAACTTGAACAATAAACTTAAACGATATTCATTTTTCTTTTGATTAGATTGCTGATATTAATAGTGGTTTAAGTGATATAATCGAACGATTTATAACTCAAGTTGATCAATTTAATAATGAACATAATCGTTTAACTGAATGGCTTGAAATAAATGATAAAGAAATTCAAAAACCATTAGAATTATCAACATTAAATAATGATAATGAAAAATTTCAAACCATTTTAACAGCAACAATTAATTTACAAAATGATCTTAAATCTCTTCAAGAATATTTACAATTAATTGGTATAACTATACAAGATTTTAAACAAGCAACTGGAAATACTGATGGTGGAAAATCAGCTAAAATCTATAAACAACTTCAACAACGTTTTGATATTTTATCAACAAATTATACGGATTTTCTTAAACGTTGTAAACAAATATCTGATCAATGTGAACGTTATATGTTAACATATAATGAAGTTAATGATCTTAATGAACAAATTGTTAAATCAATAAATGAATTTGATCAAAATTTAGCTTCAAATAAAAATAAACAACAGGTAAACATTTCCTCAACGATAGTTTTTTTTTTAATGAAAATTAAAAAAAATTATTTAGGATGATAATACATTACAAGTTCTTTTACTTAATGTTCAAAAACAATTGGATAAATTAAGTATGCTTGCAGCACATGAACCTAGTTCACCATCACCAATCATGTCATCAAGTTATCATATACAAAACCAAATTAAAGAACATGTAAGTCAGAGATTCATTTTATAGAAAAGCTCAAAAAAAAATATATAACAAATAATCTTCTATATTTTTTTTTCAACATTTGTTTTGCTTTGCCATCGTGTAATGGCAATGAGAACCGCTGATAATGTGCGTTTTTTTCTCTTAGGAGTAACTATTGTATGGGAGAGAGTTTTAGCCTTTGTTTCAGTCGAAAGGAAAAGTTTTGTTTCAATATTTTTTTTACGACTTTTTAGAAAATAAAAAGTTACATGATTGATCAAAAAAATTTGGTTTGGTGCCTTTTGATTTCAAATAATGGCAGTCGATATACTATCATATATTGACTATCATGAACTCGTACATATGAGACATACAAGAATTTAAATAGTTCTTCTTACATTACATCAGCTATTAATGCTCTATCTTTTAGTATATCGTACAAAAAATTCTCTGATTTAATGAAGAATAATCCTAATAAATATTTAGGACACGATTTTTGACTAATTTCTTGATAATTCTCAAAAGTGAATAGTGACTAACTTTACCATAGTACGGACTAATGAATTGACATTTGGATTTGATGCTTTCAGATGATAGTTTTTTGAACGCACATTCAAAATCAAAAATTAAATTTTGATTAGTACTGTGGTTCATTAGTCCTGCCATGAATGCTTTCTGAAAGGAATAGTATTGATTTGACCGAAAGAAAAATATCGAAGGAATTTATAGTGAAAAAGGTTACGCCATTCAGGAAAATCAAAATGATGCTCTTTCTATAATAAATGTCATATCCACATATTCATATATATGAATGTAAAGGCAAAAACTATTATAGATACCGAGTTTTTGTTGATTTTAGCAATCATATAACTGTGAAGGAACTCCAATATCTCAATCTTTGAACATCCCTCAACCATATAGTTACTCATATTTTCTTTCGAATCAATCATGCATACTCCTTATAGATCAAAAATATAATCTCTTTATTTAGCTTTGTACTTTACTTGATTCACATACACAACATTATCATGATGCTGAACAAGGTTTAATGCATAATTTTGAATTATTAGAACATGATAATCATGAACCTCAAACAATAAAAGAACGTATAGATGAATTAAAAAATTGGTTATTATCTTATACTGATAAATCAATAAATTCAAATGATTTATTTTCTAAACCATTATCATTAAAACGTTCTAAATTAGATGAACAAATAATAAGTTTTCGTCAATTTCATGCTCAATTATTAACACGTCGTCATTCATTTGAATCTGATATAAATATAAAACAAAATCTTAAACAATTATTTGATGATGATGATGATGATAAAAAAAATACTGATTTAATAAATAAATCATTTCAATTATTAGAAGAACAAGCAAATCAATATAATGAACGTATTAATCGTTTATCAACACGTTTAAATGAATTTCATCTTGAACATGGACATTTAATTGATAATTATTCAAAACGTTTACGTCTATATAGTGAACATATTGAACAAAATGATGATATAAATTTTTCAACATTACAATTATTATTAAATAATAATAATGAATTAATTATTGATCATACATTATATGAACAATTAAAAAAAGAATTAATTGAAACAAATAATATTGAAGATCAAGATGAAATCTATCAATATGAAAAACAAATAAATGAATATAAAAAACAATATGAAACATTTGAAAATAATTTAAAATTAATTCTTCATAAACGTGAACAAATATTAAATCAATATGAATCAAATAAAAATTTTCTACAAGATTGGTTATTAGTTACAGAACGTTTATTAAAACAACAACCCAATGAATTAACTATTTATACATGTCAACAATTATTAAATGAACATTCAAATATATCTATTGAACAAATTAAATTATTAAGTCAACAATTAATTGAATTTTATTCATCAAAAAATCTTAATCAATTATATGAACAATTAAAATTAGATCAACATAAACAACATAATACAAATATAACGAAAATAGTTCAACGACAAACAGATGAATTAATTGAAAATTATTTATTAATAAAAGAAAAAATTCTTCAACATATTAATTTATTAGAAAAAATTCAACAACAAACAAATCAATATCAATTAGCTAAACAAAAAGCAGAAAATTCTATTGAAAAAGCTAAAGAATTAGTGACATTAGAAGAAAATACAATACTTCCATTAGATAATCAACAAATTGAAATTATGTTAAAAAAATACAAAGTAAAATTTCATTTCTTTAATTTAAAAATCAAATTTTCCAAAGTTAATAATAAAAAATTTAATTAAAACGAACAAAATTTTAAATCTGAATGTATAAAATAAAACTTGAAATCGATTAAAGCTAAATGCCGTAAAACAAAACCTTTCTATGTAAGCAGCTCTCCATATAGAAAAATAGAGTCAGTCAGCTTCAAAATTTTCTATACCGGAATTATGTATTCGCGGCAATCGGATCCTAAATTTTCGGACTCGACTTTGCTTAATAAAAGATCTTCCGATCGAAGCCGAAACTAACTCGAGTTGGATTCTACTAGACACTCTATATTTCATTTTCGTAAATTTTGTTAAGCGTGAGCCTTTCAAATAGGGATGTAGAGAGTTCAGTGAGGGACTTCCAGTGCTTCACTCAACATTGGTGTCAGTGTGTATTAACTACACTAGCGCTGGAATCTCTTTAGATGCCTTCTTCCAATGTCAATAATTTTTTGCTTATAGATACTGCATAATGTTCCAATGGAAATTCTAAAAGGAATTGTGGGTTTGTATTGAGATTTAAATAAGCTATCGAATTTTTTCTAGACACCTTAGCTTTTCGGAAAAGTTTTATTTTCGAATTTTGCTCTGAACTTTTGCGAATATAGAGAACTGAACTAAATTATCTTCCAAAAAAAAATTAGAATTTTTGAATAATATCTCGTCGAGATATGCGTTTAACATGCATTTTATGGAAGTGTTTTATATCTAAACGACTACTCAAAGCTTCTAAGTATTTTATTCGAAGTTAATCCAGTTGAGCTCTCTACATGCATAAAGTTTCAGATGTTATGTCAAGTCAAAAAATGAATGAATATTTTGTGCCAGAACTGTTGCTCTATAAGTTAGAATCATTACTTTTTTTCTAATGAGATTCATCGTTCATTTGCAATACATTTTTAATAGTACATTTTAATAAAAAAAAATTTATTATAAAACAAATAAAAAGTATATTTACATAAAATTTGATTTATTAAACATAGGACATTTCTGATCAATTCAAACTCATGTCTTCAACTATTGATGAGTATAAAACAAGTGGTTTAACATTAATCAATACTGCTCAACGATATATTGATACTGAACCCATACAAAATGAAATTGCTTCTATTGGTAAAAAATTTTAAATATTCTTAGTAAAAAAAGAATCGATTAGTGTTTTTTTTTTTTTCATTTTAGATAAATCATGGTCGGAATATGTTGAATATATTCTTGATACAATTGATTATATTCAATTACATCAAGAAGATTTACGTGAATTTCATCAATTATCAAAGGATTTAATTGATACACTCAATGAAAAACAAATACAAATGCCAACAATAAATGAAAATGAATTAAAAAATTTTCATGATGATTTAGAAAAATATTATGAACAAGTTGAATTATTAAATCAAAAAGGTGAACTTTTATTACAAAGTTCCGCCGTTAATTTAAATGATGATAATGAAAATAAAATTGAACGTTTATTAGAAACAATTAATCGTAATTATGATAGTTTAACTATTAATACAAAAGTTCGTCTTGAAAATCTTCATAATATTCAACAATCTGCAACACCAGCAACAACAACAACAACAACAATAACAACAGCAGAAGATGAACAAGTAATTAAAATAAAATATAGAATAGAAAAAAAAACAAGCAAATAATTAATTATGATTTATATTTATTTAGATATCTCCAGAAATTACAAATAAATTAACTAATGAACTTCATCATCATATAGAAGAAACAGTTTTAGCTATGAATGAATTATCTGAATTATTAGTATCATCAACAAATGATACAATATCTGCACAACCAATTAAATTAAGTGAACAATTACTTGATAATGCTGCTGTAGAAAGTGAATTAGAACGGCGTAAAATTGCTCTTGAACAATTTCATTCAAATATAGAAACACTTAGACAAATGACAACAAATTCTGAAGATATCGATTCAATTAAAGGTTATTATTAATTAAAAAACAAATCAGATATTTTTAATGAGGTCCTCAATTTCAGAGTTTCTCAAGAGCGGATCATTACAAATATTTGAAACTTCCGAAGAAGATAAATCTCAATGAGTAGAATAAAAGTTGTCATAGACTTCTAATTTCGAAATACTTCCTTCTAGGACATATCTGTGCCGCAAAAACCTAGATAATGCCTTGCTTTCTCAATAGCAATACATTCATGTTTAATATCCAGTTCTTTTGTAAAGCATTCAATGAAGCTATCAATCACTTCAGTGTTTTCTCACCATAGTAAAAGTATCTCAGAAATGATTAATTATTATAAATCGAATCTAGCTTGAGTTGCTATGTTTACTACTATCAGTCAATATTCACTTGATTCACATATTTTACTGAAAGCATTTCTTTATGAAACGTAAAAACTAGGTAATTAGAATATAATCTATCTAAGACACAAATAAACATGAATTCAAGAATAATTTTAACTAAAACTTGACTATAAGTAAATTTGAAACCAATTAGAACACATACTATAATCAAGACTAAAATAAGATGCGAGGACAAATAAATATTATTATTTTATTTACAATTAAAAAATTTTTCATATCAATTTAGCTCTTGATCAAAAATTTACTGAATTAAATGATCATTGGTCAATAATGAAAAAAGCTAATGATATTCGAACAGAAAATCTTCTTTTAACACAAACATGTGCTAGTACATTCTGGTCACAATATAATGAACTATCAACATTTCTTAATAATATTGATAAACAATTATCACAAATTCGTCCACGTTCAACATCACGTGAACATATTGAACATGAAAAAGAAAAATATAATCAATTAATGAATGATTTTTCAACTAGTGAAATAAAATTTAAAGAAATTCTTCAACAACATGGTGTACTTTTATTAACATTAATATCAAATAATCAAGAAGAAACAGAAGATATTCAACGTAATTTAAATGAATTAGAACAAGAATGGAATCGTATTGAAACAAATTTACATCAATGTCAAAATCAATTGGAACAAGCTATGATTGAATCAACTGAATTCAATACAAAATTAGAACGTGTATCAACATGGTTTGATGATACATCATTTCCATTAACTATGGATAATGATAATGAATTTGAACGTATTCGAATATTTAAAGAACATTTAGATTGTAAATATCTTGATATTATTAATTTAAAACAAGATTATACTGATATTGAACAACATAAACAACAACGAACTGATGGAACAATACAACAAGATCAACATGATATGGAAGAAACAGAAAAAACAAATCTTGTTGAAGAACAATTAATTAATATTGATTCAAAATGGACACGATTAAATGATAAAATACAAGAACAGTAAGTTAAAATTTATTATTCATTTTCGAATTCGTCATTACTAATGAATTGTTCTACAGAGGAAATTTTCTCTTGTATTGTAATGGACTAACGGTAATGCTAATTTCTTTCGTAATATTTTCAACATTATATTGTCATTTATAAGCAAGTGTTCCAAAAAACGAAACAGTATTCCTTAAGAAATATTATAGTGCTACAAATATGGCAAAAGAAATTTTTACAATTACCCTTAGACGGAACTGTGTCATCCATGAAAAAATGCTCTCTCAAAGTGATAGTATTCGCCACTATTTTGGCGATAGAAGTCGTCGAATCCTATTCACACAAAATCAAACAATAAAGTTTAAATGCAAGAATTTCGATCGATCGAATCCGCATTAAAAACTTCTTGAATATAATAGGCTCTAGCTAGAGTTTTCGTCCGCGCCGCCCTTATGAGTTTTGTAGACTCTGTACATATTTTTGCTACGTATATTCTGTTTTTTTTTCTAAGTAACGTGAAAATATTGTGCGCATCAGAGGTAGCTTATGTTGTGTACATGTTGCAGTTGCTCAGTACGCCTACTATTGCAAGAAGTACTGCTTCATGTTACCATTTATTTTTATTAAATTCTCTTAATATAGATGATTTAAGTTTAAAAACGATTTTTTTCTTTTTCTTAGTAAAACTCTTATCTATGAAACTGCACTTCGTCAAAATCGTATTGACGATGTAATTACTGATATAAATCAATCATTAGATAATTGTTCATCAAAATTATTAGTTCTTAACAATAGTTCTTCTGATAATAATTTAAATGATATGAAACAAATTGAAATTTCTATTGCTAAACTTCGTATACTTTTAAATGATATTGAATTAATATCATATGATATTGAACAATTAAAACAAAATTCTTCAGAAGATCAAAATTCAATATCATCAATAAATACTCAATGGGAAGAATTACTTAAACAAGCAACTGATAAATATAATAATTTAGAAAATAAATTAGAATGTATGAAATTAAAACAAAAAACAATTGATCATATTTATTATGAATTAGATTTAATTGATAAACAAGTTAATGAAAGTACAATAAATACAAAATTTCCTTTACTTGTTGAACGTTTAGAATTTATTGAAGAAGAAATCAATAAAGAATTTGTAAATGATAATAATAATCAACAAATTGAAGAATTAAAAAGTAAGTTATCAATAGTTCACAATTTATGCAACATTTTTTTGTCATGATTGAATAGAAATTATTGAGTTACATATCAAAACAGTGTTTTTTTGTAGTGAAACTTAGAGATGGGAGATTAAAAAGCTGTTAGCACAATCTCTGTTGGATCAGTTCGGAAGGGACAGAGAATTCAAATTTTCGTCCGATACAAACTGATTTTCTTAACAATCAAACAATATTTTTCAAGAAGCATCCATAGTTTATTTCCTCACAACATATTGATACTTGTGGTGGATTTGAATTTTTATAGACTTTTCTGACTTTTTTGTTCTGAAAAACCATTATCCAACAGCATCTGAAAAAACTCTATTTGAATTTTGAATTGATAACATTCTCACAAAAATGAAACATTTTTAATGTGTATTTTTAGAACGTTTAATTGATGTTAAACAACGAACATTATCTAAAGGACAAGAATTAATTGAATTAGCTCATTCAATTGAATTATTTCATTCATCATTACAAAAATTTACTGAATGGTTAAATGAAACAGAACGTTATTTAAATAATTTAAAACCTGTTCAACGTCGTTTTGCATTAATTCAAACATTATTAAAACAAATTGATGATCATGAATTATTTCAAACACAATTACAAACATATAAAGAACATCTTATTGATTTAGATAAATTAGCAACACATTTAAAATTTGTTTCACCTAAAAATGATTCAATTTATATAAGAAATTCTTTAATAGCTGTACAAACACGTTGGCAAAAAATTCTTACACGTACAACGGAACGAACAAAAGAATTACAAAAAGCTTTTCAAGAAACTAAAAAAGTAATTAAAACAATTTTTTAAAATAATTTTATTTTGATTGAATTCTTAAATAGACAATTCGACCTGAAGTAACAGATATTGAAAGAATTAAAAATGAAGTTAATCGTCAAGCATCACTTTGTACATGTTCAAAGAAATATGATGTACAACAAGTTTCTGAAGGACGATATCGAGTAAATAAGATAAACAAAAAAGAAAAACAACAAAAATAAAAAATAAATTATGTTTAGTTTGGTGAATCACAAAGTCTTCGTCTTGTTCGTATACTTCGTTCAACAGTTATGGTTAGAGTTGGTGGTGGTTGGACTGCACTTGATGAATTTCTTGTTCGACATGATCCATGTCGAGGTAAGATATTTTTTATATATATACACTTGTTTTTTATGCATCATATGGAGTACTACAAAAGTTTTCATATTAGATAAAGTGTTAGACTATATCATGTTTAGGTTAAGAAAACACGTTCAAATGATATCTTATGAAAAACAAAATGTTAGCAAGGCAACTATGCTTTCATGTGAAAAGAATTTAAATGAAAATTTCCATTTGTTTGAATCTATTTAGAATGATCATTGATGAATTTATCTAGATACTTTTTTTACATACTGCAGATTCACATGAACTCATAAATGTATATATATTTAAATAATAAATAATTAAAACTTTAGAAAAAGAAATAATGAAAAACTTTTGTAGTGCACTATATAATAAAGACTTTTTCTATACAGGAATGCATGTCTACAGTCAATTTTTGGAGACTGTTGCTGCAGGTACCTTTTTGTCCTATTTTCGTATCTTTTTTTTCCTTAAAACCTAAATATGCTTTTATTTTGCTTTGCTTCTTTATACAATCACATTTTGCAGGACGTCTATATTATATGCCAGAATATCAAACAGGTGACAGTAGGTTTTGGCACTGAGTGTTGTGTTGTTTGGTTTTGTTTTGTTTTAATAATTGTGTTTTTATGATTAATATGATCATTAATTTGTTTTAATTGTTGTTGTTTTTTTTTAGCCAAAGGTCGTACTAATTATGAATTACATCCTGAAAGTTATGCTTTACGTGATGGTGTTGCTCAAACAATGACATTATTTAAACCAAGACTTGTTACTGTTCATCGACCAACATGCCTTTTTCATCAACAACAATTAGCAGCAGCTGGAACATCGAAACAATCACCTGTTACAACACCAATTCGAGTAAAATTTCATTTTGTTTTGTATTTTTTTCTTTGATTAATCCTAACTACTTGGATTTTTAAAGGGAGCAAAAGATAAATCTCGACGAACATCATCAACTGTTTCTTTAAAACAACAACAACAAAATTCAACATCTATTGGTGATTTATCTGTATCAGGTGATGATCTTTCAACATCACCTCATGTTCTTAGTAAGAAAAATTATTTCTAAAATAAAAATGATTTTATACTAATTTCATAAAATTAAATAGGTGACTCCGAAGCGAAACCATCACATATACCAATAGCTGTAGCTGCAACTACTCCAGTAACATCAACATTGAGTCGAACATCAAGTCGTGAAAGTGTTCTTTCTGAACATTCAATTGCATCAACATCTTCACAACAACGACGACCAAGTAAACTTCCATTACCAATATCACGACATAAAAAGACAACCAATGGTACAACACCAGTAAAAAATTCTTAAATTAAAAAAAAGAAGAAAAAAAAGAAAGCCAAAGACATAATAATTATTTTATTCATTTATGTTCTATTTTTTCTTTATCTTCCTAGTCATAATCATATTCTCTCTCATTTATTATCATTCACTCATGTTTAGATCTCTTAAGTGTATGCTCTAAGCAGCGCTTGGTTTTTGTGCTTTTTTTTGCTCTTTTATGTTTTCGCATTTTTTTTGTCTTTTCTTCTTTTATAGCTGAATATCAACTACATTCTTTTTTTCTTTGTTCTGTTTTTGTTCATTTCATTTATTATCTCTCCTTTGCTATTTGCAATGATGTTGGATTTCTTTTTTTTTTGTTATTAGAAACAAAAAAAAACGGGTGGATATGGAAAAAAAACTAAATATATGCATATTAAAAATTTCAATATTTAATTTTGAAGCGCAATGATATCGATCATTTTGAAAAGTTATAACTTGATCAAAGCGCACTATTCATGTCGGTCCTATGACGATCATGACATCGCAATGTATCACTACTCATAATTCTTGCCATCTGTCATAAATTTATATCGGAACAAAAATTAAAAAAAACTGCATTAAATTATTTAAACATTCGGCAACATTTTCAAGCCATTCAGGTTTTGAGAAAGACTTTGGAATGTTCTGAAATTTTCTAGACTAGTCTAAGTCTTGTTGTTAATGTCGTTCAATGGCTTCTTTCATTGCTCATAATGCCCTCTCCTGCTGCTAAGAAAGCAATACTCATGAGCCTTTGATCTTTGAGCTCTGTTCCGATGAGGTGGAAGCCGCAGAACCTCTACTTCAAAGTTACACTCACTATGTATTTTATTCTAAAAACATCATGTGAAAGTATGGGTGCGGGTATTTGACTGTAGCAAAGACCTATACCATCATCCACTTATTAATTACGCAATGTTATCCTAGCTAAACACTCAACTAATATCGAATCTTTTTTTTAAATGTCAGCAATCATTTTTCGACTAACTCCACCATTCATAGCTATCGAATTCGAATATTAGTCATGCGATAGAGTAGTAGAGAGCATCTACTTGTATGCGAGCCATTCGGATTACAAAAGATTTCTATATATATCTTTGCAAACCACTATCTTTTTCGATACATCACTTCCATACTTCCCATAGTAACATGACCTCAAATTATACCATAATGTAGCCCGACTCTTGCTCTATTCACCATAAAATTTTCACATCATTTGACCTTTTTCTTAAAAAGTCACAGGTTTTGTAAGATATCGAATAATATGATATTTCACATGCTAAATCAAAATAAATTACGCATGAAAGTACATATTTTCGACGGTATTGAATCTAATACCATGATCGTCTTTGAATTTTTGAAAGCTTCAAAAACATATCGTCGTACACCTTGGCTATTCTGTTTTTTTAGCTATGAATAGTGAAACATTATGTTGTTCGTTGCGAATGGTTTGTTAATTCAAGGTTACTACAGTCTAATAATAAGTAAACTGAACTAATCATCTAAAGTGGTGGTTATATATACATCATTTTGAACGCTCAAAAAAATGCCAGATAATTATCAGTCAAATAGAAAGAGAACGAAGAAGTAGTTCAGAACAAGCAAGTGAAAATGCATTTGGATAATTTGAACGCAAATAAAGAAAAGACAAAAATATACAGCGGATGTGTTTTTCATACGTGTTAACAGAACAAAAGAGAAAAACAATAGAAAGTATACATACTTGTGATAATGTCATACTGCATAACAATGCATGACAATATTAAACAGGAAAAAAATCAAATATCGAATAGACAAGCCGTCAAGAAAGAAAAGTTGAAGAGTAGAGTTACGACAAACTAAAATATATTCCTTTTTCTTCTCCACAGGTATAATACATATGTCAGTTTTCTAGGTCTTGGATTGAAGGTTCTAATGAACTCCTAAAAATCGAAAATTGCCTGTGGTGACTAAGTGCGCTGCATGGTTTGTCAAAATTTCAACTAAAACACACTCAATAAAACTTGCCAAAAAGTTCGTATTGCATGTTTCGATGCGTTCTCATCTCCTCTTGTTAACACTGGAAATTGTAGGTCGGTATCTGCATTCTATCGAAATTTATTAGAAGAATGCCCGTGGCTATTCTATTTTGAAATGGATAGTAGTTATGTTGTTGTTATATTAAGTAGAGTAGTTGCGAACAAGTAGATAGTAAAATATAGACAATAAGTTTTAATTAGTCACAACAGACTAACATATACTGTCTATGTAGATATATTTACTGAGTAAAAAAATAATGCTATCTTAGATTTATAAGAAAAATCGTGCCCCATCTCCATTTCAAAATCCTAGATAAAAGATGATGAAAACCGTTCATATGAATTAGCGGCATATTTTACACATTTACAATTACAACCAATACATAAAATAATGACATTAAAATCTGCACTTAATCGAGCATGTAAATTAAAAAGTTATAAAACTGCAACAAGTTTTGCGAAACGTTTATTAGGATTAGGACCAATACCTGATGTTACTCAACAGGTATTTCGTCTTTTTCCTATTAAAAAATAAGCCCATTGGTAATCAGTCTATTACTCCAATGAGAAGAAGTCCTAAGAGTCCAAATAATATACAGATCAGTTTGACCTCTACCCGCAAGTGATCTCTAACAATAAGTTTTTTTCAACAATAAGGCAGAGGTGCAGAATCTTCCTCGTGCGCCCTCGCGCAGGAGGGGAAATTTTTTGAAAAATTGCATTACTCGGGGAAATTTTGGAAAATTCCCAGACTGGGAAAATTTTGAAAAACTATTAGAAGGGAAAACCTTGGCCTCGTCATAATTAACTGTTACAGGATATAATTTATTCTTTCAAGCTTTTCGCTTTACTTATATGCTTTATTCTTGATCTTGCCAAGAACACACACATTGCTATCGAAGTATAACATCTTGGCAATTCTTTTGCCACAAATTTCTTTGCACCCTTTTATCGCTTGCTGTACTGTATCGTGACCGAAAGAAGGAATGTTAACGATTTGTCCAACATGGATAATTCCATTATATGCTAGTTCTTTTCCTATATGTTGTGTTGGTTTTTTAGTCCTGCCTCAACAACTACTTCTTTTAACTGAAGGACAAATATTGGATTTTCTTCAAAAAAACAGAACAACATCGTCTATTCAAATTAGTTTCACCTGGTTCAGTTGTTTTGAACCGCTTAAGACAAGAACAAGTAGCAAGAATTCGTATGTTGTACGAACAGTGCCAAACAGAACAAAATATTGCCATGTTTTTTTTACTTATATTTTGGGACAAATAAAGTTGGTCTGTGAGCGGCGAAGAAAAAACAGCTTAGGGAAATTTTTGGAGAAAATTTCCGCGGAGGGGGAAATTTTTTATTTTTTGGAAGATTCTGCACCTCTGAGTTGATGATTGTCATCGTCATCGTTATCGCCGAATAATTCAATCTGATCGTGATCATTCTCGATCTTCAACAACATTAGAATCGAATTCGTCGAAATGAAGAATGTATTGAAAA